TAAGAGCCTTGGTCATATCCGCTTCTTCCACCTCCTCCATAAGAGCCCTGGTCATATCCGCCTCTTCCACCTCCTCCATAAGAGCCCTGGTCATATCCGCCTCTTCCACGTCCACTGCTGGACTGGACATTGTCTGGTCTCTTCTGCCATGGTGGCATCTCTGGTGGAGGGGGTTCAATTTCATTTGGCCTGCCGCCCCGGTCTGGCACTCTTCCCATAAGTACCTGCAAAATGAAGAAACCAAGGGACACAAAGTTACTGGAAGTCTGCAAGTCTGAAACAATATTAGTTCAGGCCATTCACAATTTCAGACATTACATTGTAAAGTTTCATTTAAAAACAGTTCATACTTCCAGAATAAAAAAGTCAAGTAGTCAAGATAAATAACAAAATGATGCAGTATACAATGCTGGATCTTTAAAAGAGCTGTCTAATTAATCACATTCCCTTGTATTTTCATATCGTCCTGTAAATTTCTTCTCTTCAATTGCTTTCACACATTTTCCAGGCAATGCATTCAAGATCATATCAACACACTGCACACGCTGCCACCCTCTCTCTCTCTCTCTCTCTCTCTCTCTCCCTCCTCCTTGTTCTGTCCCATCATAGCTACCAATAACCTTAAACCTATGCCCACTAGTTACTGTCCATTCCACCAATGGAAACAGATTCTCTTTATATCCTGCTATTCCCTTAGTAATTTCAGCCTCCATGATTGTCTGCTATAAGGACAACGGTTCTCTAGTCTTCACGTGACTGAAGTCTGTCGTCCCTGGTGCATTCCAGCGTGCTGCCTCTACATCCTCCCTGAGGTGTTGACATGCTTCCCAATGCATGGTACTTGGTAGGTCACAATATGCTTGTAGGATATGCCCAGTGTTTTACAAAGCTTTTACAAAACTTCCTTGTTTTTTTGTAGTCTTTACAAGGATGTGTACATCTTAACTGGGCTACCACAACTTCTGCAGGTATCTCTTCAAATTTGTATATGTGCATGTTCAAGTCTGTTCCTAAATCATCTTTGAAACTACTGATTAGTTTATATTGCCACTTTCCATAATATATCAGTGCACACTCAAATTTCATCTACCATGCATTCACCCATTTCAGTCAATATTCTACTGAAATCTATTACATCCTCCTCATTGCTTACATTTTCCATGATTTATGTCATCTGCAAACTTTAAATTATGCTGTGTAGAGCCAAGTCCAGGTCATTTTACATATAAATCAAAAAGAACAGTGATTCCAACACCAATCACTGGGACACAGCACTACATTGTCCTATGGTCCATTATATAGCCAAGCAACCAACAACCTGTTAATCCTGCAAGCTTCAAATTTGCTAACAAGTCTACTACATAGCACTTTATTAAACGCACTTTGAAAATCTATACACACATCAGTTACATGTCTTGCTAACCCTAAGCCTTACAAAGAATACAATTAAAGCAGTCTGACATGATTTACCTTTAACAAATCCTTTCATTTATTAACTTACATTAATTAATAACAATAAATAAGAGGTTTAAAAAATATGGAATGTGAGCATGCAAGTAATGTTCTATACTTTTTAACAACATTATGAAAAGAAGTGTGTTGCGGATAAATATTAGTAGGAGTCACTGTTGTTTTTTGCCGAATTTGTTAGTGTTACGGAGTTTTGGAGCAGGTAAGTACAATAAAGATTTGCTGCATTGTCAAACATTCTAAAATTATTGTTGAATCATAGGAGATTCTGAAGATCTCATTTCATCATATTCAAAGAAAAACAAAAAGCTCTCCAGGAGTCTAGAACAACATCCCTCCTTTAACCAAAAGCTTTGGGAGAAAGGTTTGAGGAAGGTCACTGGACATGAAACGTTAACTCTGATTTCTCTTTACAGATGCTGCCAGACCTGCTCAGCTTTTCTAGAAATCTCTATTTTTGGTTCAAATAAACATGCAATATGGTTGACTCTCACTGCCGCCTGGGCAATTAGGGATGGACAATAAATGCTGGCCTAACCAGTGACGCCCTCATCCCATGAATGAACATAATCAAAATTTAATGTCAGCTGTTTGAGAGATATTGGAAGTGTCACATTTGCCTGCGAAAATGACTTTGAAGTAGTTTGTTACAGTAAGCATTCAGGGTCATTTTCATAAACTGCTTGACAAAGGACAAGCTTAACCAAAAACTCTAACATTAAATACTGCTTTATTTACCAATCCAACAGTGAAAGAAATTGAAACTGAAGTTTAAACCGATTAGGAGGTGGCAACACAATTAACAATTCAATGATTTTGGGGACATGACACCTTTGTTGTACACAATTGCACACTGTAACAATGTTGAGTAAGGCTCCAGTTTTGTCCTAATTGACAAAACGTAATTTATTTTACCTTATTAACAGCACATGCAGTCTTCTCTCTGATTGAGCCACTGCTGGTTCGCATAATCTTGGACAGGTCCTCGCGAGCAGCTAGCAGATGTGCCACACAAATGGTGCTTCTTGAACTCAAAGCTGCACGCTTGGGCTGGTAGATTTTGGCCAATTTTTCAGTTTGGCTCTATGCAAAGCAGAACATGTATAAATCAAATCAGTATTAAATGCAATAATGGCTGGAAAGCTCCCAACAAAACCTCTTTGTGGAGCTTTAAAAGATATAAAGGAGTTAGTTTTTCTTAATCACCCTGAATAAAAAAGGAATGACTTAAGATAACCAGCCAAAATTATAGCTGGTATTAGAAATAGCTGATGCTGCAACTGCATCAGCAGCACTTATTTAAAAAAGCCCTTTTTAATCTAAATGGACTGATCATAAAGATCTTGTAGCAATTAAATCAATTATATCAATTAAGGTATCAACAAATTACTACTGATTGCTGTTTCACCTATCAGACTCAAAGGCAGAACTAACTCAAACGCTAACATGACATTCCTCTCACTAGTTGCCATATTAAGGGAGGTATAATTTGATGATTCCCACAACAGCCATCTTTACAGCTAAGTGACGTTTCTAATTTAGCAATTAAAGTTTAACATCGCATGTCAGAAGTAGAAACATTTCCACTTTCAATGTCAACTTTTCTGTTCTTAATAAACATGAACAGTCCAAACAAAGATTTCTATTCATTACTATTATATGCCATTTACAAGCACTATTCTTCTTTCACATATGGAAGCAACTTCAATTTTAGACAGTGCCCAAGGATGCTTGTCAAAATTGTGCAAAAATTCCCTTCTGTATCCTACAGTGAAGTCACTAATAATTCACAATCGCAGAAAAACAAATCTGTTCCCCACGATCTTTGGAATAAAGGGAAACCGGAGTCTTTACAAAATCCAATACCTTAGCACGATCAGACCAGCCAAACGATTGTATGGTTACATCCATTCGCTTCAGCAACATCTTTCGTCGAATTTCATATTCGTTAACCAGGATCTGATTAATAGCTTCTAATTTTTCCTGCCAGTAAAGAGAAATGGAACTATTTCCTTCAAATACCATGACAGCTACATTGAAGAGAAAATTTTGTAGCAGTGTAAGTGTGTTTTTCAATAACTTTAGAATCCAACTTCTTTGACTCTAAAAAGACACGTGTCAAATAAAATGTAAGCAAAAACTCCACAGCATTGTTCACGCTCCAAAATCATGAAATAAAGAAACACAAAGGGGCACCACAACACATCTCTTTTGCATGGAGTATATGGAAGCAGGGGTCGAGGGTAACTTGGCAAGTTGGATTCAAAATTGGCTTAGGTGAGAGGAGACAGAAGGTGGTGATGGAAGGCTTTTTGTGTGACTGCAGGCTGGTGTCCAGTGGCACAGCACAGAAATCAGTGCTGGGTCCCTTACCGTTTGTGACATATGTAAACAAAATGAAGAAAACACTTTTTGGGGAGGGGGGTGCGGAGTGATGTGGTGGAGATGATAAATAAGTTTATGATGACATGAAAACTGGCCAGGTGGTTGCCGATGAAGAGAATGGAGATAGATTGGTTACATGGGCAGATCAGTGGCAGATGGAAGTTAACTCTGTTAAGTGTGAGAGGCGATGCACTCGAAGAAGTAACAAGACAAGGGAGTACTCGATGAATGGCAGGACACTAGGAAGCTCAGAGTAACAGAGATCGTGGGGTACTGAACCACAAATCCCTGAAGGTACTAGGACAGTTTAAAAGGGTAGTTAAGGCAGCAGTCAGGAAACTTGCCTTTAACAGTCATGGCACACTTTATAAGAACGTGCAGATTATGTTGGAGAAGTACAAAACTTTGGTCAAACCACAGCTGGAAAAGTGTGCACAGTTTTGGTGTCTACACTATAGGAAGGATGTGATGGCACTGCAGTAGTGCAAATGAGATTTGTAATGATGCTGCCTGCAATGGAGCATCTATGATGGCAGGCTGGATAAGCCAGGGTTGTTTACCTAAGGGCACAGAAGGCTGAGAGGGGATCTTATTGAGACACAAGATTATGAGGGGCGTGGACAGATTGGATAGAAAACAGCTGTTGCCCTTAATTGAAGGGTCAATAACAATAGGGCAGGATGTTAAGGTGAAAGGCAGGTGGTTTAGAGGGGATTTGAGGAAAAAATATTTCATCCAGACAGTGGTGAGAGTATGGAATGCAATTTCTGAGAGGGTAGCCAGTTTTGTACTGCATGCCTCTTTTATTCAATGATCAGTTGGCCAGACATTTCCTGGCCCCTACATAAATGGGATTTGGTGACATACATTTGTACATTAGATTACATGTACAGTCAATTTAAACAATATAAAAGCATTGGAAGGTTGATATTTAATCTTAAAATTATTCTGCGCTGGTCTTATCTTTCTTGGTTCAGACAGCAATATCCCCCACAAGCCTCCATTACCCAATAAGTTCTCAACACACCAAGAGACATCAGTCTGGGATAACTGAACAAGATGCATGTCTTCACTTACTACCCTGACACAGCTACAGGTCAGATCAGACATCATGTATGGGGTAAATGAAATATATACAAAGGCTCAGAACTCCAACACTAATTACTTTTGGAAAAATAACATATGCCAGATCTGGGAACAATCAAACATGTTCCTGTTTCAGACTTCAAGCATTTTATGAAGCTGGGACAGCCAGCTACAGTGCTAAATTATCAATGAGACAGTCAGTGATTGGGTACAATCTGCACAAATCCACAACACATTGGATTCTTGCAGCTAGCATGAACTGGGATTTGAATCCAGGTTCCAAACTAATCTATTATGCAACACGATTCTTTGTTAAAGTATCTGGTTTCTGTCTTGTTTAGCATCATTTTTGCTGCCTTTTTCAGGGCTACATTTGGAAATACTATTTCCATTCACAGGCAAAAACAAGTGTTTCACTTGTGCATTCTCATTTTCAGTAAAAGTGGTCCAAATAGACAAATGGGCTATACCTATTTCTTACAATTAAAAATTTGAAAGAGGAACAAGTATCAAATCAGATTTGGCCCGATGTCTGCTCTTGAAAAAAGCTGTTCCATTTAGTGCCAAATTCCAGGCTCAATCCATAAACTTGCAAATCAATCCTCTTCAGATACATGTTCAACTCCCTTTGGAAAGTTCTTCTGTATTCTCATTACATCACTATCTAGGAATGTCGTCCAAATCTTAATACTGTGTGTGAAGAAATCACTCCCTATTTACCCACTAGTTCATTTGTTTATTTCAAATCTATAACAAAGTTATATTTCTTGCAGAAGAAACAGTTTCTTATTTGCTATATTTAATATACAATTCTGACTATCTGCATTTGCTTATGGCTTAAATTACAGAGATTGAACTAAGATTCTCCAACCTCTCAATGTTAACAGTGATTCCTTAGTTTCAGTATCATCCTCTACACCCCTGACATCCTTCCTAAAATGTGATGCCCAGAGCTGCACAATACTCCAGCTGATATCTTACCACAGATTTATAAAAAAATTAACTTCTTTGTTCTTGTTTCCAACATCCTGACTTAAAAGCCAAACATCCTGTAATTTGAGTTGAGAAAGCTTACAAGGGTGCAACAATTTAATTTGTGATTTGACAATACTTTCAAACAAGATAGCTGAAAACAAGATTCAGAATCAGAAAGTCATTTACTAGAAGTAGTCAAAAGGATATTATTAAGCAGTTAAAATTATGTATTTAATATCACTTAATAACAAAAGTATTAATTATCTAATCTACATTGAAAGTGGTCAGAATACATTCTACAGTGTGTGCCACAAATAATTAATGGTTTCATTACTTACCCAGTGAAGTGGTCCAAGTGCTTTCTTCACCAGAGGTTTTCCAACATGATTTCGGGGCACCTTTGACAGAGATTCTTTAAGCTAAGAAAGAAAAACAAGTCTAAGTTAAAAATTGAATGGATTAAAAGGTGGGGGGAGAAAAAAAATGCAAAAGGTATATATTGCACTTATTGTCAAATCATAAATCAATAGTGAAGAGGACTGCTGTACCAAGCTCAAGCAAGAAAGGAATATAATTTATGAAATTACCCTCCAAAGAGCTACATATTCTGAAGAGTCTATGATGCAAAATTACACTCAGGCACCAAATGGATGGTCCAATATTTTTCAGAATGGAAATGACAACATTGATTAAACATTCTGTTCACTGCTGTGAAGGATTCAAATAATAACAGGAAATGAGTTGAAAAATCAGGAAGTTAAAAAGAATGAATGCCAGGCAGCACTGTTTTCTACAAGAAAGTGTAACAGTTCTTAATTATATGATCACAGAAGGTAATTTAAACCATCTAAGTAATTTCAAGAGACAACTAGAAGTTCTGCACAGAAATGGATTAAAGGTTAAGGCATGACTGGCTGGTAGCTCTGCATATACGTGCTCCAGGCCAATGTGTCACTTCCATTAATTAATTCACAAGTGCTATTTCCCATGCCATATTTCTCCCCACATAATTCCAAATGTTAACTCCTTACCCACATGTTTATTGGCTGCTGACCCACAGCAACTAAAAGAGCTTTTATTTAATTATTTTTCAGGATGTGTGACATGATCCAGTGTTCCTGTTTTTCAATTTCTGTTTTTAATAAAGTTGCCAATCCAAATGATGTTTTAATATTTTGACCCCTTTTAACTGGTAGGAAATACCACCAAGTCCAATATATTAATAAACCTTGGCTGAAATGTAAATGGCTGTGTGTCAGGAAGCATGATCTCTTCCTGAAAGCATTCAATATTTAATCTGAAGGCAAAGATACAGTTAATGTTTTGATTACACTGCCTCATAGGAAAATCATCTGGATTAAAAATGAAACAAATTCAGTTCTGATGAGCACAGACAAGATGAGCCGAAGCGCTTTTTCTGTGCTGTAGATCTCTATGTCTCGGAGCCAATTCTATTCCCTAGCTATTTTTGGTTACATTTTAGAATATTTTTAAAAAACTGTTTCACAATGATTTGTTCCATTTTTGGTGCTGGTTTCCTGAAGGCCATTGTATGGACACCTGGTGAGCTGCCTACTTTTCTTTAAAGAGAGTACCATGATCATGCGATCCAAGTTAAATGGACAAATTTGGATACTATTTTCTTACATGATGTACTGTATATGAACGCAGCATCTTTGTCTACTAGTTTGGCAAAATTGCCATTTATTCTCATCATACTTAACCCATCACAATTTTTTAATCAACTCTTTTCATCATGTGACCTGCAAATAGGTATGAAGTTTTACAACCTTGCACACTTTATTGCACAATGCCTACAAATCGTACAAGACATCATTATTTGTCATACATGTCTATGAGGTTTTCTTGGATACATTCATATGTCACACTTCTATTGACTTCATGTCCTTCAAATCTCTAACATCAGCAGTGCTTTTACCCATTTTTGTTGATATAGTTGGCTAGCCTTTAGCCTAAATATCCCTAAAGAGAGCGACCTAATGCTTGAAAAGGCAGTAGGCCTTCTTCAGTGATTGCATCCAGAGGCTGATGGTATTCCCAGTGCTGGTAGGTAAGGATCTGACTCAACAACACTAAAGGAATGGCGTCAGGTAGCACACAACCTGGAGGTGATGATTTCCAATGCACTTGCTGCCGTTGCCCTTCTAGGTGGTGGAGGTTGTGGGTTTGGGGAGAGTTGCTATACTGCATCCTATAAATAGATCAATACAGCCAGATGTAGGGGTTCTGCACATTTAAGCTAGTGGATGAGGCACCAAAGTTGCTTTGTCCTGGATGGAGTCAAGCTTTTTGATTCGATGTCACTGCAGCTGCATATAACAAAGCAAACAATACTATCATCATGGTCCTGACTTGCACCTTGTAGACAGTGGAGAGGCTTAGATGAATCAGGACATGAATTCCAATTGCCATAGAACACTCAGTCTCTTACCCGCTCTAATGACCGGAACATTTAGATGGGTGGCCCAGTTGAATTTCTGCTTCACAGCAATTTCAAGGACATTGGTGGGAATTAGACATTTGGAATGTGGTGGTTAGGCCCCCTGAGGAGTGTATAATGTTACTTGCCATTTATATGCCCAAGTTTGAAAACTGTGCAGATTTTACTGCACATAGGGAGGGACTGCTTCATCAGATGAGGAGCCGAGAGTGGCACTGAACACCAATCATCAAGCCGTCCCATTTCTGATTTTATATTGGTGAAGTTGTCACCGAGGATAGTTAGGCCTAAATGCATCAACCAAATATTACCACTTTCCACAATGTTTTTACTTCTTAGTGACTGAAATTTCAAATGTCCAGAAGATTTAAAGAAAATACCAAGTTCAAAAATGTGTGTTTTACAACAGCCTAAGCTTCTGGTGGATGAAATTTACTACAGTAATAGACTGCTCTGATTATGTAATATCTGATTATGTGTTATGCACTACAAAATTTCTGATTCTCTAAATCTTTCCAAGTGACTTATGCAACACGTGAAAAGGAAAACAATTTTTTAAACATCAGGTTCGGCGCACAGCCGGAGGCAAAACTCGTCCTTAAAGTACTCCTGGCTATAATTCCAGAGACATCTTGCGATTGAATTTGAGGCAAGGCAGTGATCCTGGTGAGTTTTCAAAGGAGTAAAACATAAAATTGGGTTTGGAAGCACTAGAGAGACCATCAGGAAAATTAACACTTGTGATCCAATAAGAAAACCTAGATGATAAGTTCTTCTGAATGGCAAAAACATTGCTCGTCTGCACAAAGTAGAGAAGCAGTGAAGTCAGACTTCCCACTACACCAAGCTGTCCTGCCAGAATGTCCTGTGCCAGGCCAAGAAAGGTCATTGTTCAATCGGCTGTGTCTGTTAAGATGGATGTTAATAAGAATTTACAACACTATCAGAAAGAAGAGAAGTTCTTTCACTTTCCTGTCCAATGGCTCCCCTATAAATCTCACCACCGGAAGCAGTTTAACCATCATTCATTACATTGGTTCCACCGAGGGCAATGTGACTTTTGTTAAAATATCTGCACTTGGGATTTTTCTACAAAACATTATGAAATGCTTAAACAATGGAGAGAGCTCTCCAGTTTCAGGTTTTCAGGTCACTCTTGCATGCAAACTTTGCACATGATAATAACCACCACTTTGCTAGCACACAATCTGAAAATAGAACAATTAATATGACAGAGTGCTTTTCTCTCCTTCATGACTTTTCTCTCAATTCGTGGGGTGTGGAGAACACTGAAAAGGCTGTATTTATTTCTAGATCGTAGATGCTCCAAGGTAATGGTGGTGGGTCCTTCAGTGAGTGGTTTTGTTTCACAATGGTGTTAAATAGGGAATTTCAAGATATTGAGCCATCAACAATGAAGATTCAATACATGCAGAAACCTGGAAGGCACGCGACTTAGAGATGTTATTCCTATACAACAGCTGCTCTCAGTTTCCTTGGTGGTATCATAAGGCTAGGAAGTGCTGCTGAAACATATCTGGTGAGTTGCCAAAGTGCACACTGTAGATAGGATATGCAACATCCTCAGTATTGCTTTGATATTTAGGTTGGATGTGACACAAATGAAGCAAAGCTGCTCCATTTTGGATAATTTTGACAAGAAGTATTCCTGTTACAACAGTCAGTATTCCATCATATTCCTATCTTCAGCTTTGTAAACTTGAATGACATTGAGAGATTAAGTAGTGAGCCACTCATTAGTGTTATGCAGGTTCGGTTGCAGATTGACATCGGTTGGTTTATGGTTAGACACATTAACCGAACTGACAGTCAAGTAACTAGTGGACATCCCTTTTCTTGATTCTACGTTGGAGGGTAGGCCACTGACAGTGCAATTGAAGATGGCTGGACTGAGGATTAGAATTTTGTGAAGGTTGCATTGGCTCGTATTTCCTTAAGTTGAGGGGCAAGGTAAATTAAGTGTTAAGAACACCAACATTGATTTTTCTGAACTTTGTGCACAATATCCATGAGGATTTCAGGAATTACTATGAGTAAGACTGTAAAAAACACCAACTACATAGCAGCTTATAATGCAATAAATCCTGACGGCTATGCTGACAAAAGTGTTTTGTGCTTAAGCAAATTTTATTTGATGCTTTTTGCATCTGAAAATTCATGTTTAAAACAATTTGATTCTAATTTATTGATCTGAAGGTTTTCCATACACAAATGAGTGTTGGAAAGGATACATTAAATACCCAATTGTGCGGTGGACACCTGAGAATAAGGTACAATGCAGTGAAACAGTGCCAGTCAATAATCTGAGAGGCACTGAAAATGCAGTTTTCCAATTTTAATACGTGGTTTGACCACTGAATTTATGATAATCTGAAATCCCCTGTCTTTGTACTTTTTCCCCCGAAATAGGCAAACCCTTAAGTGAAATTATGAAAGCCACTGAACAGACCCTTAATCCTGATTAAGAGAAGAGAATGTAAGATTAAAATTTCTCCCTTATACTTGGGGGATATAATCTTATATTAAGGTACAAATTTTATAGATTTTACAGTAGTTAGAAACTAAATAACTGTTTGAAGTTTTAAGTCAAAAGGCATGATCAAAAGAAACCTTCTGCTCAACTGATCTGTGCTGATCCTTTTAAGAATTTATTATTTCCTGAAGAGGAAATGCCAATGGATTTTTAAAAGTAATTATTTATACTGTTTGGCTGAATGATTCAAGTTTTAAATGCTGCATATTAGGACAATTTTGTTTTTATGTACCTTTTTCTCAATCCCACTGAAGAACTGGAACATGGTGATGTTATCTGGGGGCTTGGACATACCCAGAGTAATACATATGGATTTCAGTTCCACGAACGACTGGCTGGTTTTATCTGGCTGCTTCTTTGGCGGGTTGTTCACACCAAGCATTCGTGAAGATTCAAGCTCAGAAATCAGGTAAGCTACAGGAACCAAAAAAAAAAAAAAAAATCAGCAAAATGTAAACGTGAGATATACAAACTACAAATGCATTTGTCCATCACCTCACCCAATTCCTTTACTTTCCTCGGGTCAGTGACTGTTGCTCAGGTAAAGCACGGATATCAACTGGTCTCCTTTCATATCGGAGCTTGCAAGACCACTGTCAAAAGGTTATCTGACATGAAGAAAGGAATCATCCTTGACAGGTTTGATTCCAGCCCCAACCAACAGGAACACATCTGGTTGCTGACATGCTTTTGCTGCATCTCTGGAACTCGGGTTACCAGGTTCAGTTGTGGCATTTAGGATTTGTATTTAGATTGATATGCCTCAGTACTATACAACACGAGACTGTAAACTGGCCAACTGAATCAACAAAGAACAGCATTAAAACTTGAGCTGTCTTAGAAAATTTCAATGAATCTTCATTTCAAATGATAACACAGTAATTCACTTAGTCCCATATATTCAATTCTTTTATTACTCAAAGTTGTCACATAGCTACTTTCGAACATTCACATCAATGTGGCTTTTTGAGAAATAACCTAGGTATTATTTTGGTGCCACTTTGCTTCTGCACAAGATTTTCGTTTCAGCAATTCAAATTACCACCATTAACAAGAGGCGTGTAATCAACAGACAAAGTGCTTCAGAAAACAGGTTGCTGTTTATGACTGAAACAGTGCATGTACATAGCAGACTAATACAAGGGAACCTCTTGAAACTCAATGGCATGGGACTAAGAGCTGTAACTGAATTATCTATCCCAGATTAAATTCATTTATCAACCAGCCTCACTACAAAGTAGTGATAAGGGAGGCAAACAGCAATGCATAGGGTGCAATGAAGTCTCAGATCTCCAACTCAGCAAAGCTCTTCCATGACCTCAAGTATGAGTGTCAGCAGTGTTAAGAGCTCAATTTCCCATCCACAGATGACAAAAACAGCAAAGATCAAAATTCTCTGTAGAAAAGCAAAAATGACAGAATCTATTCCTGGCGACGTTACCAGACTAGTATTTCAGAATGGGTTAAAATTCCATGAAATTTTCATAATTTAAAAACTTGGAAACCAGAACTTGAAGAAGTGATTGCCAAAGTTTGACAGTCAGGGAAACTAATATTCTTTAGGGAAGAAAACCGGTGATCTTTAACCCAGCCTAGCCCAAGTAGAATTCCTGTCCCACAGCAATGCAATCAACCAACTACCTTTGAAATAACATAGTAAGTCACTCAGTTAACCAAACTACTAGACACAGTTTAGAGTAGCAGCAGGCAATCACCTGAGCATAAGTTTGGATTGGCAAAAGTTTGGCCAGTAATGGTTACACAGGAACAGGTGTACGCCATGTAGCTTCTTGATTCTTTTCTGCCAGTCAATTAGATAATAGCTTATCTGGATCACCACTCCAATTCCCCATCTTGGTTCTATATCATTTAATTCCACAACCAAATAATCATAACCTTACCAATGTGAGTTTTAAAATTTCAACCTCACATTCCCTGAATAAACACAAAAGTAATCCATGTTTAGACAGAACAGAACATTAGAACCAAGTTAAAAAATGTTGTCTCCCAAGTTGCTCATTCTGATGAAATTTTTGCTTACGATCTATGTAGTACTGCACTCCCCTGTCCTTATAGTTACTGGTGGGTATATAATGCTGCCAATAGTATTGGGAGAGTGAAAACAACTTCAAGGACCACGTAAGTGATCCCTAGCTTGTATTCAGGTATCTGATATCAGCCAGAGCAGCAGTAGGAAAACTGCAAGTTGCTCAGTGCTCCTTGACTAGGGAGCCATCTCATTACCATCCATGCATGTGCATTCAGCAACAGTAATGAATAGAATCAGTCACAATGTTAAATCTTTTCACCATCCCCCAACCTTCATCTTAGTCTAAGCCTACACACTGCATCTTCCAAAAACAGCAGTTTTCACATCGACTATCCTGACAGCCATCTCTACATCACCACCCCCGTATCAACTATCTAAATTTTCACACTGCTTGTCCATCATCTGGTATCAAGCATCTAGGAATTACCTCCAACTAAATACTTTAAATTGTTACTGCCAGTTGGAAACTCTGTTCCACAGTCATCAACTTGTTCCCTTTCCTTGGCAATTGTTGAAGGCTGAACCAGACCACTTAAGGTTACATCTGACCCCAAAATGAGTTGTAGACCACACAGTTAGGCTAGGTTGTGGGTATCTCCACATTTCTAACATCATCCCAACATTATGTCATTACATGCAGCTGAAAGCCTCATGCTGGTTAACCTTGTTTAACTATTCCAATGTAACTCTTGGCTGGTGGTTGGCCTCATGTATGTTCTGTAAACTTGAGGTCATCCACCACACTGTTGCCCTTGTTCGAACTTCTGCCAAGCTCTGTCTGCCTATTATACAAGTTGGTTCCTGTTTAATTAATGCCTCAATTTTAAAATTCTCACCCTATATTTTCAAATACCTCCAGGGGCTCACTCCTCAAAACTTCTGTATTTTCCTTCAGCTGTACAACCTCTAAAAACAGTCAACTCTAGAAATGACTCCATAAAACCTTTTCCTTCCTTCAAATACAGTCGGTTCTACTATAACGCGTGTTCCAGCAACGCGAATTGGCTATAACGCAACTGACGAATAGGGGAACGCTATTTCTAAAATTGATCTTGCGTTGGCTAAAACACGATTCCATCGGTGCATGGAAGAGTATGTGACGACATCGCATGATCCGTTTGCAGATTTTGGCCTGAGCACGCGCAATATTAGCACCAAAAGAGTCTCCACTTTGGCATCACATGGCCATATATATCAACACTGTGAAGGCCTCTTTACAGCAACTTGTCGCTGAGGGGGAAGTGGAGGCTGGAGATGAAGATGTAGTAGTCCAGGATGCAGCATGACAGCTTTCCACTTCTGTTTTGTCTTCTATCCGGAAGGAAACCGAGAAGCAGTTGCAGCTATTAGAGAAGAATGATTCAAATGCAGAATGCAGCAGGTTAGCAGCTCATGGCACTCTATGAACAGCCTAATCCTGCAACCACAACTGCACCTAAAGGAGGGAGTGGTGGTGATGGCCTCAGCCCCTACATTAACAGATCAAAACCTCCTCAAACTCGTCCCCTATCAAGTCATCTTGACATTTTTTCCAAGGTAAGGTGTCAAATTTGCTTTTATTTCATTACTACATATGAATTAAACATTTATTCAAACTATGCTATCCTTTGGGTTAGGCTTTTGAGTGATTCTGAGTGATATTTTTTGGTGGTCCGTCCGTCACCCGGCTTTTCCCATAGGCCCCGTTATTTCTATAACATGATTTTCTATAACACAATGTTGCACAGGGGAACACAACTATCGCATTATGGCAGAACCGACCGTACTGCATAAAAGCTACTCACGTGACCAAACTTCTGAGCATCTACCCTAATATCTCCATTTATGGCTCAGTGACAAAATCATCTTCCAGTGCTCCTGCAAAACAGCTTGGGGAATTTTACTATGTTAAAAGGTACCATATACATGCAAGATGCCATTATGATTCAGTGCTGCTACAAATGTACCATAGCAGGATGATTTCTGGAGAGAAGGAAATTAGTATGTGTGCATACGCAGTGGGTGAAGGCGGTCTGTAGGGGTTTTTTTTAAAATCTCCACATGCCTGTCAATTATGGGTTTATTGGATTTCAACACTAAATTGAATACTGGCAGCAGTAATTGTCAGTCACATTCCTTCTATAAAATGAAGGCAGATGTGGAGTGTCATTTGTGAGCCATCACGAGTCCTCAGTATATCTAGGGGGGAGAAATATTTCCATGAAGCATCAGAAGATCCACATGCTTGAGCAACAATTAGCCAGATTCTGCTGTTGAGATCAGTTGAGTAATTAGCTGGAACAGATAGATTGGACCAAACTGGCCTCCTCCTGTGCTGTAAAGACAAAATTCCTTTGACTTGTACACCGAAATACGCATTCTAAATCTTATGACAATGACAATTTAAACCCCAGATGCACAGCAGAACAAATTATGAACTCACCCTTTTTATTTTTGGCGATGTTTAAAAATTGGAATGGAACAAGGGTCATGCAGCATGGAAAAAACTAGTCCACACCGACCATGTTCCCAAACGAAACTAGTCTAACAAGAGTGGTTTTTGTGTGGAAAGGACTGCCAGAAAAAGCGGTAGATGCAGGTACAGCTACAACTTTTAAAAGACATTTGGATAGGTACATGAATATGAAAGGTTTGGAAGGATATGGGCCAAATGCAGGCATGTGAAGCTAGTTTAGTTCAGGAACATGGTCGGCATAGACTGGTTGGACCGAAGCTTCCGTGCTGTATAATTCTATAACTTTTATAGATGGCCTGTCCTTTTCCACAGCTATTTTAAAACTAACAGAATTATGATCACTTGTCCCAAAGCGTTCCCTGACTAACACTTCAGTCACTTGTCCTACCTTATTTTCCAAGAGAACGTCAAGTTTTGTTTCTTCCCTATTAGGGAGGTTTGCAAACTGATTAAAAAAATTATCTTGAACACATTTAACAAAATATTCATGATCCAGCCCGTTAACACTACAGTTGTTCCAATCAAGGTTTGGAAGATTAAAATCACCTATTACAACCTTATCATTCTTACACATATCCGAGGTCTCTCTACACATTTGATCTTCAATTTCCCTCTGACTATTGGAGGGCCTACCGTACAATCCCATCAAGGCAATTGTCCCTTTCTTACTTTTAAGGTCTACCCATAAAGCTTCACTGGACGATCCCTCAGAAATATGCTCTTTAAATAGGAGGAGTAATGTTTTTCCTAATCAAAAACACCATTCGCCCTTCTCTCTTGCCTCCCTTTCTATCTTCCCAATAGCGTTTAAAAGCCAAAACGTTGAGCTGCCAGTCCTGTCCTTCCTTCAACCAAGGTTCTGTAGTAGATATAACACAATGTGAGCTGGAGGAACACTGCAGGCCAGGCAGCATCAGAGGAGCAGGAAAGTTGACATTTCGGGTTGGGATCCTTCTTCAGAAATGGGGGAGGGGGAAGGAAGCTCAGAAATAGAGAAAGGAGGAGTGGGACTGAGGAAGGTAGGTGGAATGGTGATAGGTGAGCACAGGTAAGGTCAGTGAGGTGGGAGAAGCGGATAGGTGGCAGAGAAGATGCCCTCATTCTGCCTCGGGAGCTGACAGCCCAATGGCCTAAATGTGGATTTTACCAGTTTCAAAATCCCCCCACCCCCCCACCTCATCCCATGACCAACTCTCCCTCTCATCTCCACCTCCTTGACATGACACAACCTGTCCAAATTCTCTCCCACCTATCCGCCACTGCTACCTCACTGACCAATCCCCACCACTCCCTACCTGCACTAAAAATCTGTATCAGTGCATCAGAAAGCAAACAAACAATGTATAAGATTTTACAGTTGACGTTTCTGTATTTAAATATCGCACCGCTCCAGACACACACCTCTAATATTTTGAATAGCTTGGTCATGGCCAGAGCTGGTAACAGCACACTTTACTTAAAAGTCATTAAAAAGTGAACCAGTGGGACTGCAGGGTAGGTTCCCTTCCTTAAAGGATATTAGGGAACCAGCTGCGCTTATAAGACAACCTGGTGCTTTCACAGACAGTCATTCTAACATAAAAGGCAGCTATTTGGCCCTTTGACTCCGTAAGTCGGGCCTCTGTAAAGGTGCATTGCAATTTTATCTAGTGCCTGTCACAGATCAATTTGCCATGGTAGGTATTAGAAGCCATATCAGTTGCTAGCCCAGCAACGTAATCACTTGACTAGTATACCCATGTACACGTGCACATATGACCTTGGAGAGAGAATTCATCTTTGGTATTCGACACATTCGAGCATTACAACCAAGATTTAAGTTTCAAATACAATAATTAAATTGAAAAATAATTTGAATACTCCTACAACTTACTGAGCAGCAAGAGGCAATTATTTTTGTTGAGGAGGCGTTTTGTGACATCACCAGTGGTTAGAACAGAATAAGGACAATTCATCTCAGCCAATAAACCGCTCATCTCCAGCTGAAACTCTTCAGCTTCTGTGGGGCCTAGAAGGAGACAGAGTTTAAAATAAAATTAAGGGAAAAGAATCACAGGACTTAAAGTCCTACACTCAGATAATAGTCAAGGTTATTGACGTACAATTACATTTGAAGAAAATAATTTTACTCAACCAAGCCATTTACTACATGCATTAAGGTACCTTCCTTTCCTTCCAATCAAGGGACACAGACATGACAGGTGTTGCAGTTTAGTCAAAGCTTTCTGAATGCAGTGTCACTTGAACAAGTTTATGCAATAGAATAGTCTCTGCTATTTTTTTGTGGAGTCATCTTCAGTAAGGTAAATTCAATGTTTAAACATTCTCAGTGTTAAATTCCAAATAAGACCAAAGTACAACAAATGCAAGGGGTCTGAAATAAAGAGACAAATTACTGATAAAACTCAGCAGGTCCCAGATGATCTTTGGAGAGAGAAACAGAGTTAACATCGAGTCCAATATGGCTCTTCTGTGGAACTTCAAATACTGGATTAACAATATTGCCATGATTTAATGGTTTAAACTGAACAGATGAAGTTGTTCAAACAACAGCCTGTCTGAGTCATCAGGGTAGTTCCTTTTCGAGGTACCCGAATACATATTTCTACTGCGTGGGAATACAATCACACGCGATCATTTCCAAATGCTGATTATTTTATGTGCAAAATGGATTTAAGTTGTTATATCACTTGGGTAATGCAACTGGATATAGTTTAATAAATAAAACTTACTGGCTGTTGCATTGACATTTTCTATCAGCTTGTAGAAAGCTTTCAGTTCTGTTACAAGCCAGGCACATAGTTTAGTGTATTCTGGAGAAGCTGCCCCACCAACAGCTGCCAAACTGAGAGCTCCATCGTCCAGTAGCGGACCCTTGTATCTGCAAAATTAATCACATACTGTGAGCACTCCAGAAAGCCTTTCAATTCCACTATTGCAATTGCATTTCCTCGATAGAAAAGTGGAATTTAGGGCTCCAACGTACCAATCCTCTATTTTTAAACTGAAGCTTCATGTTTCTGTTAACAAGTGTAACATTAATCAGTGAAAATGTAAAGTTTAGTGTCAATCCCAGAAGCAAGAATTTATTAATTGCAGTTTGACAGATTCATGCCTCAAATCAAAAAAATTGTCTTATCCTCTAAATAACATTATAATTTTAATTAAAAATTTTGTACTTATGGGGAGTAACAGTACACAAAACTAAAAATATTAATTGTGAGGGGAGGACGACCAAGTTCATCATTGGGAAGATGGTAGGATTCCAGTAGGTACGCGGATGACTGCCAAGGCTGAAGGATTCTGCTGCAAATAGGACATATGCCTTCAATGATTAAGTTTTCAATGAATTGCTGGCTTGGGCTTTTCCCTCCTTACACTCTCCCACTGGTAGCGCAGCATTCCTCAAAAATAAGCACATATTTTTATTTGGTAGCACCGTGTGCAATGATCTTAGCCAAGGTTTTCCCAGGACTCAAAGTTAATATAGAAATTGCAAAACTAAAGCAGAGTCCTCGACACTTCCTTTGGCTGCGATAAGAGTAGTTCCTAGTCTCAAAATCTCACAGATAGTGAATTTGGTAAGCAAGTGGCATTCCAGATATATGACCAGCCCAACCAAGTTGTGACTCAACGTAACATGGATGCATGCCAGCTTGGGTGAGCACCTCAGTATCTGGTATTCTGTCCCACCAGCTGATCTTTGAAATTTCCGGAAGCAGCTCATGTAAAACTGGCTCAGCTCCTTGGCATGATGCTGATACACAGTCCAGTTTCACATGCATGGAGTAGGTGAGCAAGGCTACAGCTTCGTAGACTATCAGAATGGTACGTAGGCTTATGCCTCTTCATTCAAGACTGATGCTGAAACTCTGCTGAAGGCTACAATTGCTTTCATTTCTCATCATATTTCTCCATCTCATTCTCTGATGCCTTCCACAGTGGTGACCCTGGGATTGAAATCAGAGATTGCATAAATGGGAAGCTGCACAATCTTAAGATGACTCCAGGTAAAGAGGGTGGTCTCCAAGGACGCAGCCCGTGATTTCCTGTTTCTTAATGAGTGCACACAGCTGCTGGCTCAGGGCTGGAAATACATCACAGGATTTGTTCTTCAACATAATCGACCAGCTCCAGCAAAACCCCTTCGAGCCCAACATTTCAGTCAATATCCAGAACCTGCCAGCAGTGGATAAATTCAAAGCTCAGCAACACACAGCTATGGGGCTGCCTATATTGATGACACACACAAGAATCTAGAAGTAAACAAAGTTTGAGGGGAGAAAGCAACTATCTGTATTCTAGATTGATCCATTCAGGACATGTTTGTCATTCTCAAATCTTTGAAATGTCAATGAAATGAGCTTTTAGACTAATAGTAAATATCCTGAATGTGGACTTTGTGTGGCAAAGAATGGAGGATGTGAAACTTAGAGTCAAGAGAACCCATTCACACTATCTATATGTTTTGGAGACTTGGACAACTTACAGCAGATATCTCAAAGCACTCGAGAAGTACTACCAATGCATCTTCCTAAGTGTGTTCAACTCCAGTGGGCAGAAAAGTGGTCCAATAGCAGCATCCTCTCTCAAGTCAATACGCTCAGAACTGAGTTGCTAATTACTTCACTGCGCAGCAGACATCACTCTTATACTTGAACCAGACTGCCAAAGTAACAGCTCTACTCAGAACACAATTGCAGGAGACTCCTGGGAGGACAGCAAAAATGCTTTCAGTTTGTCTTCAAAAAATTCATGAAGAAACATCTCTGCTGACTCATGGGAGCCCCTGGCTTGTGACAAAGTGGACTAGAGAAGGTTCAATTGGAGAAATGCAACAGAAAGACTATATTAGGAACTTGCAGAACTGATGTCTATGCACAGAAGAATGCACTCAAACCTCCAAATAACTCATTCATCCCACTCCATCTGCACCATGTTAGGCAGAGTCTGAAAATCACACATTGGAATTATCAGTCCTCTCAGAACCCATCAAACCAGCGTGGAAGCAAGTCATTTTCAGTCCCAAGGTACTGCCTAAAGCCCTGATTCACACATTAAAAACACAGAAAATGGACCAGGAGTATGCCATTTCGCACTTTGAGCCTGTTCTGCTATCCATTATGCTCATGGTTGTCACCCAACTCAACAGCCTGCTCCAGCATTTCCCTCATATCCTTTGATCCCTTTAACTTTGTGTGCAATATCGAGTTCCTCCTTAAAATCATACAATGTTTTAGCCTTGACTGCTTTCTGTGGTAGTGAATTTCACAGACTTACCACTCTGGGTAAATAAATTTCTTCTCATCTCAGACTTAAATGATTTGCCCCATATCCTTAGACTGCCACTGGAAACTTCCTTCCTGCATCTACCCTGTTTAAATCGGTTAGAATTTTAAAAGTTTCTACGAGATCTCCCTTCATTCTTCTGAACTCCAGCAACATGATCCTAATTCAACTGCTTCTCAATGTCAGTCCTGCCATCCCATGGATCAATCTGATACATCTTCACTGTACTCTCATTATAGCAAGAGCATCCTTCCTCGGATAAGGAGGCCAAAAAGTGCACACAATATTTCAAGTGTGGTCACACTAATGCTCTGTATAACTGCAGCAAGACATCCCTGCTCCTGCTCTGGAATCCTGTCACTATGAAAGCCAACATACTATTTGCCTTCTTTACGCTTGCTTTACCTGCATGCTTACCTTCAGAATTTGCACAGTCCTCGTTCATACATCCCCTACATTTGATTGATACAAATTAGTTAAACTAATCTAGTTCACAAAATTACTCAGAAAAGACACCAAATCTTCAAATTTATGCACTGGAAGCATACAGGGGGTCTGCAATAGACAAAGGCCTTACCTATGATCCACTTTCCCTTTAAACAGCCCCTTTCAGTTGAGGCAGCAAAAGCAGTTGCATTATTTCAATCTTCCTTGTCACAGCGAAACAGAGGCACTGCTCAAAACTGACTGGAATAGACATCTAAAACTTCCAAACTCTGTAGTTTATTCAGTATGTCAAGTGTTAGACTCCTATTCCTTCAATACAGGATATCTGGTTGGCGTGGATGAGTTGGACCAAAGTGTCTGTTTCTGTGCTGTAAACTCTATGAATACATATTTCTGCTATGTTGGTATGCTGGTTGCAAATAAATTTCAATTGTCAATTTTAGCCTGAACATTGCAGTCTAGCAATTTGGTATCTTCCTCCTTACGAATTAATTCCACTTTCCTGCTCAAATCTTACATTTCAATTTCTGCTACAACACTAAGTCTTAACCATCAACTGCAAAAAAGGTCTCCTTTTTTCCCCTAGTTTGTCCTTTTGATCTAAAGCATTTGGATGGAATTAGAGATCCCCTGTGGCAAGATTTAGACTTCTTTGCTGGAACTCCTAATATGCTGCTCCATTCTACAGCCACCGAATTTCTCCTCTCATCCAAGGTATCATATTGGTAAGTCTCTCTGGGCCCTCTCCATGGCCTTGAAAATCATCTCAAAAGGAAGGCACCAAATTTGTCACCATAGTTTAATTAAGATTTAACCAATTATTTTGAGAGGTTTAGCATTACCTCTATTTTGGTATGCAGTGTTTCCATTTATAAAAATCTTTTTAAAATACCTTTTCCGTTTGCCCCTAATGCCAAGAATTCCATTGATGCAAATCCAAACTGCATCCATTCTTTTCAACAAGATCTAGCATCCTACATGTCATTAGATGAAGACAAGTGCTACAGATATTTTCTAATCAATTCTCCAGAAATGTTGTAACATACATTTGGAACAGGTGGCACTTGAACCCAGGCCTACTGATTTTGGTTTGAATAGTTCAAAGTTATTCAAGAAAATGTTGAGAATTACAACACACTTATATAGATTATTGCCATTGGGAGCCAATGGGAGATAGAGGCATAATGTCACTAGACAAATAATAGAGGCAAAAATAGAAATTGCCAAAAAAGCCTAGGTCTGGCAGCATCTGTGAAGAGAAATCAGTTAACGTTTTGGATCAAGTGACCCTTCCTCAGAATACCTCAACACCCGCAGTTCTTTCTGTTTTTATTAAATAATACAAAGGCTCAGCCAATGATCTGGGGCATAGATTAAATCCACCACAGCAGCTGCTGGCATATAAATTCAATTAATAATTCTGTAGTGGAAAGTTAGTCTCATGAAAGCTGATGATCGTATACAGCCATTTATGTCCTTTAAAGGAAGGAAACACTCCATCCCTACCTGGTCTGACCTATATATGAGTCAACCCTTAGCAATGTTGTCGACTCTTTGATTGACCAGAAGGCAATTCTCAGCTCAAGGACTCGGTCCGTCACATGACAGTGCCCACCCCTCTGCAATGGTGAATCAGGTTTTTCAATGTTGGCAAACGGTTCGTCAATACATATGCAAATGATAGCTGAAATAAAACGTGAAGGCGGGGGGGGGAAAGAAGAGAGACAAACAAGAAAAACAGGCAGGCCTTTGCTGCAATGAAACACGTGTCAGCAGCGCGGAAAAGGGCAGAAGCTTTTTACCCACAGAGTCAGGCCCAATAGGTCAGGCAGCAGCGTCAGGGCCAGCTCAGCAAGCTATTTATAACGGGCGCAGGGTCAACCTGACTGCACCATATGGTGGTGGTGGTGGGGGGGGGGGAAGCCACCCGCTGGTTAACACCTAACAGTGAGGCCCAGTCCGGCAGAGAAACCTCCAGAAGGTGGACACGGGGAGGGGAAGGAGAAAGCCCAGGGGCCACACCAAGCGCCTACCCCAGATCCTCCAGCGAGTCAAGGATGTCATTCTCCATGGCGCAGCCCAGGCTGAAGTGTGTGGCAGCGGCGAGCGACCTCTCCTCACGGCCCACACCGAGCGACTGTCCCTCCCCGCCGCTGCTACCGCTCCGCGGCTTCTGCCCGGTTGGCATGTCTGGGGCCTCACTCTATACGCGGGCAGCCCCGTGCCTGACGGCCGGCTCCACACAAAACAAAACCTCCACCTCGCAAACAATATTGACAATAAAACAGGTCTTTCGTCGATCGAAACCTGTCCGTGTAATTAATAAAAACAAACAGCGCTGAATAAAACACCTAATCTTCATTCAGGCGGCTGATTAGTCACGAAAGCCCCTGACACAATTTCTGCTGTTGTCATGGCGATTGTTCAAACTTTCTGTCTGAGGGGATGTTCTAACGGTCTTATTTAACATTTTTAGTCCATCCCCGTTTGTCATGTTAACATATTCAACTGGATTTGTTTTGTTTTTAAGCCATTATTGTCTTGAAAATGAACCCATTTATAATTCGCCACACACATGCACAAAGATGTCTCTTTTCTGTCTCTGATTTTTGGTCCTGTTGGCTGCTTTTTGTGCCAGTTTGAAAACCATTCCCATGATCCCAGCCAAAACATGAGGGCTTGTACAGAATGTTAAGTTGTAGATTTGAGAGCATGCAATTCCTATATCATGTCTTTCCATAGAAGTTAACAGTGCAGAAATTGGCCATTTAGCCAAAACGTCCATGTCAGTGTTGATGCACCAGACTATGGGCGTCCTCCTTCGCCTCTTCATCTAGCCCTATCAACATACCTTTCCAAAAGCAAAATGCAGCGGATGCTGGAATCTGAAACAGGCACAGAGAGTTCTGGAGAAACTCAGCAGGTCCAGCAGCATCTGAAGAAATTCAGAACTTTGAATGAGAGTGTTGTCTTGTGAGGAAAGGTTGGGTTGGTGTTGTGAAGAGGATGTTTTATCCTATGACAGAGATTGTCCATTTAAAACTGAAATGGGGTGATTTTTTTTGCCTTAGTGAGTTGTGGGTCTTTGGAATTCTCTTCTTGAAAAAGGAGTGGAAGCAGAATCCTTGAATGTTTTAAGGCAGATGTAAGTAGGGTGTGAAAAATTATTAGGGTAGGTGGGAATGCAAATTTGTGTTTACAATCAGATGAGCCAAGATCTTATTAAATATTTGACTAGACTTGAGGGTTTGAATGCCCTACTCCTGCTCCTAATTCTGTAAAGACCTTGTCTTTTTTATTTTCCTGTATTGAAATGAGAAAAGAATTGTTTTAGAACCAAGGATTGCTGAAGCATTTCTACACATTTTTGGAAGCAGTAACCCAACACTCGTTGTAAACATGGTTTACACAGCTGTTGCTTCCAGCAGTACTTGAAGTATAATTTACTGATGAGCTGAAGCCAAATGGTTGTACACAAATAGAGCTTCGGTGGGCAGCAAGTAACTAATTGGTCTATGGAGTTCTGACCAGTTATCGAATTTGAAACATATACGGTTCTTAAGGGGCTTGATGGGGTAGATGCTGAGAGGATGTTTCCTTCATGGTAGAGTCTAGAACCATATGACATCGTCTCAGAATAAAGGGGGACCAAATTAAGACTGAGATCAGGAGGAATTTTTTCTTTCAGAGGGTTTTTAGTCTTTAGAACGCCTTTCCACAGGGATATGTGGGAGCAGAGTTCTTAAGTACATTTAAGGCTGATACAGATTCTTGATTGGTAGAGAAATCAAGGGTTACAGGAAAAAAGCAGGAAAGTGAACCTAGAGTCATACAAATATACAGCATGGAAACAGACCCTTTGGTCCAACTTATCCATGCTGACCAGATATCCTAATTAAATATTTCCCATTTGCCAGCATTTGGCCCATACCCTTCTAAACCCTTCCTATTCATATACCCATGCAGATACCTTTTAAATGTTGTAATTGTACCAGCCTCCACCACTTCCTCTGGCAGCTCATTCCATACACACATCACTCTCTGCGTGAAAAAGTTGCCCCTTAGATCCCTTTTAAATCTTTCCCCTCTCACCTTAAACCTGTACCCTCTAGTTTTGGACTCCCCCACCCCAAGGAAAAGATCTTGTTTATTTACCCTATCCGTGCCCCTTATGATTTTATAAACATCTATAAGGTCACCCTCAGCCCCCAATGTTCAAGGGAAAATAGCCCCAGCCTATTCACTCTCTCCTTATAGCTCAAACTCTCCAACCCTCGCAACATCCTTATAAATCTTTTCTGAACCCTTTCCAGTTTCACAACATCCTTTGTGTAGCAGGGAGACCAGAATTGCATAGAGTATTCCAAAAGTAGCCTAACCAATGTCCTGTACAGCCGCAACGTGACCTCCCTACTCCCATACTCAATGCACTGACCAATAAAGGTAAGCATACCAAACGCCTTCTTCACTATCCTGTCTGCCTGGGACTCCACTTTCAAGGAAATATGAACCTACACTCCAAGGTCTCTTTGTTCAGCAACACTCCCCAGCATTTACCATTAAGTGTATTAGTCCTGCCCTTGAGGAATGTCAGATGAGCCATGATTGTATTGAATGGCAAAGCAGAGCTCGAAGGGCTGAATGGCCTACTTCTGTTCCTATTCTGTATGGTCTTATGCAGACAAAGGCCTTCAGCCTGCCAACAGCTATGTGATTAATTCTTAGATAGCTGAACAGTTTGGGTTTGTGAACAAGATACAGAGAAGTCGTCAGATGTCCACCAGCAGGAGCTGTCTCAGCAATACCCACTTTAAATCTGAAGTAAACCAGTTTATTTTTCCTTCAGCAGTTGTTAATTACTCAGTCAGAGACATGCTATGAGTGTGAACCAGTCAACCTGTACCTCCTGCAAACCGGTGAAAGCATTTAGAGGAAGAAAACTGAGAAACAGTATTCTGATCACCACAAGAATCATCTCAGCAGCCTTGTGAACGGGAACCTTTGAATTGCCTTTTCAGTCTGTCCGTGTGTGTGTATGTCTGTGTGTGTATTTTATAAGGGGGAATTAAATTCTTAACTAGTAGAGATGCTACTAGATGTTTCACAGTTGTTTATCTGTAGCGAGAGTTTATTTACTTGTAATAAATACTAACGCTTATGAGTACAGAAACCGGTTCTATGTTTTCTGTTAACCAGGGTCTGAAAGACAGGTAAATTGGGCAATCCTGTGTGCTTTTTAAAATCTTTAGCCTTTATGATGACTCCAGGAATAGCAAGACTTGATTTCCAGTGTGCTACCCAGGTGAGGCATAACAATTTGTATATTTGTATGTATGTTTACTACTGGCTGTTCTTTTATTCGTTCATGGGATATGGGCGTCGCTGGGTGAACCAGCATTTATTGCCCATCGCTAATTGCCACTTGAACTGACTGGCTTGATATGCCATTTCAGAGGGCAGTTATGAGTCAACCACATTGTCTGGAGTCACTTGTAGGCCAGACCAGGTAACAATGGCAGATTTTGTTGCGTAAAGTTCAATAGTGAACCAGCTAGGTTGTTACTACAATCATTACCTTGTGGCCATTAGGCTAGCTTTTAATTCCAGATTTTCATTGATTCTTACTTCACTACCTGCTATGTTAATGCTCTAGGTCTCCGGAGTATCAATCAAGTGATAATCCCACAATGCCATCACCTCCCCAGAAACATTGTGAATTATATATCCATCACAGCTGTAGAGAGACATTGGTATATACCGATCATAAACCCCTATCCTTTGTGGAAAAATACAAACTGTCAGACTATGTCAATGGAGTTTGCTACCAAGCCTTGTTATTTAAAGATTGTTCACATTGCAGGTAAAACGGTGTAACTGTTGATCCTTTGTCAATAATGTAAACGTTTTTGGATTGTCTAAGAACTAAGAATGTATCAGAGATAATTCTATAAGTTACTCGGAAAGATTGAATGGGAATCAGTGTAAATGTCACTTAATTTTTAGAAATATTTTTGTTTAATTCACACTTTACCATAAAATGCATTTTAAAATAGCATTTTATTTTTCCAAGGATAGGGGGCTATGGTGATGCTTTATATTTAATATTTCTTGGAGGGATTGGGTTTTGAAGGAAATGTGCAATAAAAGATTGATTTAAAGTTTTGTGGAAATAACTGGAATGATTCATTAAAAGAGATTGTTGAAAGATGACTGTGAACATTAGAGATTTTTTTAACATGGCCTCCTAGGAATCACATGACTAGTGATAACTGCTTGCTTTGCTGCAAACCCTGCTGGGTCTGGTTTGAACACTGACTGGATGGAGAGTACTTTGGTATCTGGAATTAGGTGGGGACAAAAAAAATACCAGGAAGCACTGCACAGTTGACCTCTCCCATTTCTGAAAGAGTCCTCTTGAATTCAGGGTGAAATCGAATTGTTCTTCTGAAAATGTTTGGAACAACTTCTCAGTCATGCATTTCTTGAGCAAGCTGTGAAAGAAAGACTTCAGAGTCAGCCGTGCATGATTAATTATTTGAACACATGCTAGAATATCTGGGCAACTGGCTTTAGAACATTCCACGCTTTATCATTTTGCCTTCGAGAATAGCACAGCGACAAAAGTATTTTTTTTTTCAGAAGATCAGTCTCTGGAAAGAAATTAACATTTTTCCCTCTTTTCCTGAAGAGTGTGTGTATTTGGGTGATATTTAGAGGGATAAGTGTTTGTACTTCAATATTAATGACTGTTTACACTAAACACTTGTTTGCATCTTCATAGAATAAATTTTGTTTTGATAATAAACTAATTATTATGTTTGTTAAGGAACCTCATTTTGATCTTGCTGTTTAAAACCTGTTATAGATTTGGTCACCTTGGTGACCAGAAAAGATTTTTTATTTTATATTGTGATCCATGGTGTGGTGGGACTAGAACGACAGTATACTTCTCAACCTCGACCATTACAACAGACAAAGATTACCTTTGTAGGATGAACTTGACTATTGCTTTATATTACCTCAGCAGTTTGATATGATGTTTGATAGAGACAACTAGCTTCAGAAAGCCCATCAACTACCAATGGCCTATGGCCCATGCAGATGTGTTTGTTTTCACTTGAGGAGACCACCTTCTCATAAATGAACATGAGCAATCAACTAGACAACTTATACTAAAGATGTCATATATGTATTACCTGGAATTATAATTGATAAGTTTAGCCTAGCCCCCAGTACAAAATAAATTAACTTATAAAAACCAAAAGAGCTGCGGATGTTGTAAATCAGGAACAA